TTCACATCAGACAATCCACAGGATTTCTATTTTATTTTTGTAAAACAGTCTGAACCTTCTACCACCGTGGCTCTGTTTTTAATTAGTTTTGATGGCATCAGGTCTAAGCCAATTTAAAAAAATGAACTTGTTTTATAGCTCACTGCATTCCTTGTTTTTGCAGAGGTTTTTGCAACATTTTATTAATGTGCATTATTGAGATTTGTTTTGCTTGCTTTTGCTAGTTGTGAAATATTTCATGCATCCTGCATACAGTAAATCATCAAAATATGAGCTCTGTTTTGGGGAGATGAGCTCTGCAAGTGGGCAGCTACAAATTAAGAATGTTAACTTGCAGCCAGCGATGTAGCTAGGACCCCTCGTCTCTACCTTCTAAGGAACATGAATTTGGTTGTGGTGGTTGGTTAAGTGGGATATGTATGTGTGGAGTTGGTTGATTGTGATTCTAAATGTGAGGCTTGCTGAATGTGATTGTGTGTGAGGGCTGGCTGAGTGTGACGGTTTGTTTAGCTTACTATAATGGTGTTGGAGTTGACTAAGTGGGATTGTGTTTGAAGCGTGATCATGAGTGAGCTTGGCTGAGTGTGATTGTGTATGAAGTTGACTGAATTTGGATTTGGCTGTGTGTGATTGAGTGAGGAACTCACTTAGTGTGATTGTGTATGAGGTTTTCAGAGTGTGATTGAGTGTGAAATTGTCTAAGTGTGATTGTATGTAGGGTTGTCTAAGTGTGATTGTGTGTAGGATTGTCTGTGTGTGACTGCATTTAGAGGTCATGTGTGTTTAAAAATATGTCTTTTTACTCCACTTCCTTCTTACCTTTCTGCAGGGAGTTGGTATAATCCCTGGTGCAGTAGGGGTATGATCACTGTTGACCGCAAAAATGTTCTCCAGTGCTCAGTGAATGAATCAGACCATTGTCATGTTAACCTGCGGCAGAACTGACTTCATTGGTGGCCAAAACTGCGAGGGAGCACTTATGGTTTTCCTTGCAGTCATTTGTAGACTTGAGCATTCAATTTCATCTGAATTGCAATTCGGCCCAATTTAGACCAAATTCTGCAAAATATTCTGCAGGTCAACCAAATTTTGCAAAACAGAAGTACCATATTGCCATATAACTGAACAAAACATCTTTTTCAGTGGATGAGCCTGTTCATTATATTTGTGATTTGGAGATCCTTGCCAAAAAAAAAAAAGAGATGATTGATGGGGGGAAAAAAAGGTTATTGATGGTTAGGGGACAGACACTAAATGGTGATTTTTTTTTCACAGATCAAATTAGAAATGAGCAATAAAGGGAAAATAAGGACAAGCAGTCCAATAAATCTATATATAAATACATTAAATATATATACATATTTACTGCTCCTCCTCTTTTATCTCTATTGTTACTTTTTCTCACTTTATTTGCGATCCAAAAGCAAGGGAAATTGTGTAACATTTATTTAACGTATACATTTTGCAGTTCACTGACGGGCCCATTTTTGCACCATTTTTGGTTCATCTGAAACATTTTCCCCGATATTTTGCATGGCTAATATTCAGATGAGCCAAACTGACACATGGACAACTATTGGACTACCTCAACTAAATTTTATTTTCAGAAGTCATTTGGTCAAACCTGATTTTTCCTCCTTACACAAGTACAGTAATTATTAAGTATATTGCCAAATTTGAATTTTACTTACTTATAGCTTTGCAAACGGGCCGCCAGCCTTGCCTACCACTTCTTTGACAGGCAGAACTCCAGGGCACGGTCGCAATAGTGGCCTTCACGACCCTGGTAGTTCTGTCACTGCTCTTAGCAGAGATCTTCTACCAGCAAGGTACGGGGCAGTGAAATATGGATCTGTTGAGATGCAGAGAGAGAGCGAAATTGGCCTGTGAATGGGGAGGCTAGGACTTGGGGTAGTAGGGAGAGAATTAAAATGCAAGGGTGCGAGAGGTCACTTTGGGCTGCAGACTGAAGGAGCAATATGAAAGAAGGAGAAAGATAACTGATTGTAATGAAAAATGCATATATAGAGCTGGGTTACAGAGGGAAAGGGGTGCCTATGGCTGGGGTGGTTAGGCAGAAAGATATGTCTTCTTTGCAAAATTGTTATAATCAGTGACCTTATAGCGATTTGAACATGAACTAATAATTTAAGGTTCACAATAGGATTTAAGTTGGGACATACTAGCCTACCACTTGTTTTCTTGTTATTGTGTTTTGAAACATTATCTCGCCTTATAACTCAGTTACACTTTTACACCATGGACTGATGATCAGACATTTTCCTTTATAATCTTATGGTAGAGAACTGTAGCGGAATGCATGCCCTAACTACACTTTTATTCCCTTTTGTTCGTCTGTCAGTACATCCCCCATTCATTTACCGAACCAACTATGTGTGGGTCCCCAGATTCCTTTTGTGTTTAAGTCACCCTGTGCCCATTATTGATGCAGGGTATGTTGAATGTATTGCTTGTCTGTGCCCCTCCCCCTTTTTCATGTCCTTTTGTTTCCCCAGCAGGGCGCTGTCCTAGGGACACTGCCAGACCAGTTTAAACTAGCTGCTTTGTCCCTCCTCAATCTCCAATCGGTTCTTGCTATTGTCTGACCCCACCCTTCCTTGTACTATAGTGCTTTATGCACCATTATATGTTGGAGCTTAAAATATGTGTGCTATGTCTAGTAAAGTTAGTTGCTGTTTTAACCTTCACCAAGTGTCGTCTGGTGTTTGGGGAAAGGGATATAATCTGCTGATGGGAGGTGTGTCCAGGGCTATAAACACAGTAGCCTGGTCCAGGGTGGAAAAGGCCCTCAGTGATCCCAGTCAAGTCTCGACGACTGGGTCTGAAGTGCTCCAGGGTCCCTGATAACTAAGAGGAAGCAGACTTGGCCGAGGAACTCGGTCGGAGTACTGAAGCTCCGTTACAAGAACAATTCATGGTTCCATCAATGATGTCAAGTCTTTCAGGATCTGAGATAGTGTAAAGGTAGCTATTTTCAGCAAATAACAAATCACAAGTACTAAACTTAATGTGCCCAATACATGTATCAATAAATATACTCATACTCCAAATGAGCAAACAAGTTACATGCAGTAGTTACTATCAATTGCATTGTTTCATAAATAGTAGATGCACATGTGTGCACTCCACCAGATTGAGGGGAAAAATTCTACTCAACATGACCCATCGGTCCTCATAAAAAGGAACAGGAGAAGCCACCAATCAAAATGGACCAGCCCACAAATTTGATAAGAAAAAAAAAATTCAGTGAGACGTGCCCATTACATCTACTGGGTGATATTTTCTTTCCTCTGTCAAATCATCATAAAAATCATGTATTTATAGTTAGATGTTTGAATATTTAAAAAAAAAACTGTTTTATCATTTTAGGGAAAAGATTGCATCTTCAGGCCACAATTTTTATTTCTCTTACCAAACCTCTATGTACTGTTGTTTTAGGGTGCGGATCAAATCTTGCACGCCTTGTAATTACAATAATGAATACATTTAATATGTACTATTATTATTATTATTATTAGCATTAGTATATTATGATCTAAGTGTAAATAGACAGGCAGACAGACAGAAGCGAAAGAGACAGACATAATGTGTTTTTTTTTTTCCTCCGGCTATATAACTCACTTTATATTTATCGAGATATTGTTGTGCAGATATTGTGTAGGGTGAATAAGGTTGTGAGACTAGAAGGGAAAATGCTTAACAAGGTGCGGCACAGGAGCTAAAGTCGTTGGAGAAATAGTTTGTTTCTTAAAATTCAAAGAACTTCAAGCTGACATGACAAACATTCTCCTTAATTATTATTGTCTTCAAAAATACCACAAAGATGATTGATGCTTAAAAACTCTATGCTGACAGCACATAATGTACATTTTGATGTTACTGAGAGAAATTTTAATAATGAAAAAATCTGAGACATTTTATTTTTATTTTCAGTTTAAATACCGATGTTTTTTTGTTTTTTCTGAAGCTGCAGTGACATAGATATGACACATTCCTTTACTGGCCATTCCTTTCTCTGACTCACAGGAAGTATGTTTTTAAATTTTCATTGACTTTTATAAGTATGAAAACAGTATACTTAAAAAATAATAAAACAAATGCGTCAACCTTTTTATAGATGTTTTAACATGTAATTCTATAGGGCCAAAAGTATTCAGTTCACAGTTGGGCTTTTGTTGCTCCTAGACACATCTACTTTACAATAATAGCACTTGCATGAGATCTGTACAGATCTTGTAAGGAAAGATGTCCACAAACTCCTCTTAGTTTTGTGTAGGCCATTTAATTCCAGTGTGTTATGTTCAAACTTTGTATAACTAGCTGTTTTGTTGTTAGTGTAGATGAAGGTTTCTTATTCATCCATAGTTGCCACATACATTTCATGTAGCCCCTCTCATTGGGTCAGCCATTGTAGTAGCAGCGAAACAGGGCTAGGATCTCACTTTGTGCCCAGGAATGGTTTGTTCCGGAAGCCCACTGGTTCCCTAGCATCTGATGTTCTCCTCGTCTAACTCTTGCATGGTTGCTGTGATAGTCTCTATCGAAGGATCAGGGCCATATCTGGCTAGCCGCCTCTTTACCTCATCATCGCACTCAGAGCAATACATCATGTTTGCTTGCTCCAAGGCTGTGGGCACCTCTACTTCCAGGGACGATGCACGACTGCTAGCGTTGCCCTCAGTATACACCACACACGTTACCGGTGTCTCCGAGCTGCTTCTTCTCGCACTAGGAAGCATCCCACCGCTTACCACCAATGTAACAGAGCTTCCCGTACCCCGGTTGGGTGCTCATCACCATCAGAAACGCAGTCCCCACGTTTAGCGTTACAGCTTGGCTGCGAACTCGCCGTCTCCTACCCCCCCTGGACCTACGACAAGGCTCCAGGTTCCAGTGGGTGAACCTCCCTTCCACCAGAGAGTCAAGCAGGAACAGCTTTTAGTGATTATAATCCCTGGGGACTAGTGATATAGTAATCCCCAGGGTAGATGCAGCCTTTTCCCCCACACATGAGACAAGGCTCTATGTTGAGGGTAAAACAGGAACTCTTTAATGCAAAGCAAGCACTTACAATTTATACACACATTTAAACCCCCAACAGCCTCATTACATACAATAGGTTACATAGAGCACTATAGTACAAGGAAGGGGGGGGTCAGACAATAGGGAGATTGAGTAGGGACAAAGCAGCCAGTTTAAACTGGTCTGGCAGTGTCCCTGGGGCAAAGCCTTGCTGGGAAACAATAGGACAGGAAAAAGGGGGAGGGGAAGAGGCACATTTTCCCATGGAAGTCACTTTTTAACATGTCTTTTTGCAGGGCCTATAGACTTTGGGCAGGAGGCTGGTAAACAGGCCCCTCCAAAAACCAGTGGCAAGGTCATTTTCGCCACAGTGCTGCAATGTAAACATTGCAGTTCCAGAGAACTGCAATGTTTACATTGCAGCACTAAGTCTGCCCTCTGTTGCTGTCTAACAGACAGCCACTAGAGGGCTTCCAGAATCCAAACTGAGTTTTGGTCTGTTTTCTGACAGTGGACATCCTCATGGACCTCCAGTGTCAGATTTTCCACATAGGAGAGCATTGAATAATTGAATAATTATTGAATAATGCTTTCATATGGGGAGGTGTAATGCGCATGCTGACGTTGGCGGAGCAGGAGAGTGAGCGGAGCCTAACCCAGCACTGAAGGACATTGGCACTGGATTCAGGTAAGTGGCTGAAGGGGTTTCAGCACCACAGGAGGGGGGCAGCAGGGAGAGGGGCAATCCAGAAGCCTATAGGGCCAGGGAAATGGGTTTGTTTTCCTGGCACTATAGGATCCCTTTAAACTGAAGGGTATGGCTTTAGAATTGGTCACCAAGGGATATCCTGTTTATTGTTCACTTATGCTAGTGTAGTAACAAACTCTAAATATATAAGACTAATCTCAGAAAATGGCTGGTATTAACATACCTATATCATAACAAAATGGAAAGAATGGGAATGTAAAGTGCTTTATATTTTATTTTACATTCTCCACCAAAGAACACTTAAATCTCCACCTGAAAACTTGATTAAAAATCTGCAGACAGCTCACAATGTCAAAATCCTCTGTCCAAAATTCATGGAGGGTGAGGCTTGAGCGATCTGTCATCTCGAAGCATCGCCGGAAAAGCTCCCTTGTGTTGAGTTTTTTAAAATTGGTCCATTGGCTGGAGTAGTGGGTTGGTGTTAGACGGAAAGAACATGACCTTGATGAAATTAAAGTCCTCCAGCAAGTCTTCATCGAGGCGTCGAGGTTGGGCAGGAGCATTGTCCATGAGCAGCATGCCCTTGAGTGGCAGGTTATTTTCCACAAGGTACTTCTTCATAGCAGGACCAAAAACCGCATTGACCCACTTCACAAACAAGAGGCATGTGACTCAAGCCTTTGGGTTAGACTGCCACAAAACGCTCAACTGCTCCTTGTTCACCTTGTGTTTCTTGAAGGCCCGTGGGTTCTCTGAATGGTAGACAAGCAGGGGCTTGATCTTAAGGTCCTCACTGGCGTTGGCGCAGAACAGGAGGGTGAGACGGTCCTTCATCGGCTTGTGGCCAGGCAATGAGGTCTCCTCTTCTGTGATGAAGGTACACTTTGGCATCCTCTTCCAGAAGAGTCCAGTCTTGTCGCAGTTGAAGACCTGCTGAGGAAGGTAGCCCTCTAAAACTATGACCTCCAGGAACTCCGTAGCAAATTCCTCAGCTGCAGCAACATCTGAACTTGCAGCCTCTCCATGCCTGACCACACTGTGGATGCCAGATCTGGTCTTGAACCTTTCGAACCATCCCCTACTGGCCTTGAAGCCTTCTGCATATGCTGACGTTCCTGGATGTTGTTTGAGGAGGTCAGCATGCAAGGCCTTGGCTTTTTTTCGCAGATGATCGCCTTGGTCACTGAGTCCCCTGCACGCTGCTTCTGTTCAATCCAGAGCAGGAGCAACTTCTCAACCTCCTTCAGAACAGGTGGCCGTTGCTTGGAGACCCTGGTGACTCCCTTGGCTGCATCTCTCCCAGTTATCTTCTCTTTCATTTTTAGGATTGTACCGATTGTGGATGCACTCCTTCCATACTCTTTGGCAAGGTCAGTCAATCGCATTCCTCCTTCATGCTTCCTGATGATTTCTTTCTTGTCCTCAAGCAGAATCATCTCCTTCTTCCTCTTCCCAGCTTCCACTGATTTCTTGGGTGCCATGACACCACCGTCACTAAGTATGCAAAAAAAAAATGCTTTACATCCACATGAGCTGGCATGGAAACCACAGTAAAAGGCATGCGCAGCAGATGAGCTGTAACAGGAATACACAGCACAAGAGCTGTAACAGGCATGCACAGCACATGAGCTGGCATGGAAAGCAACCCCACAATGCAAAACACACAGCAACAGGCATGCACAGCACATGAGCAGTAACAGGCATGCACAGCACATGAATTGGCATGGGAACCACAGTAAAAGCCATGCACAGCACATGAGCTGTAACAGGCATGCTCAGCACATAAGCTGGCATGGAAAACAACCCCACATTGCAAAACACACAGTACTGTACAGGACTGTAACAGGCATGCACGGCATATGAGCTGGCATGGAAAACAACCCCACAATGCAAAACACACAGTAACAGGCATGCACAGCACATGAGCTGGCATGGAAATCACCCCACAATGCAGAACACACAGTAAAAGGTATGCAAACAACTAAGCTCAGCTCCCTACCTTTCCACCCCTTGAGATGCACCAAAAAGGCTCCAAAACTTGCTGCAAATGGCTCCAAAAGGCTCCACAACTTGCTGCAAATGGCTCCAAAACCTCTCCAACACCTCCACACTCACGTGCTACCCGGACTCCAGTATGCAGGGGGCGGAGCTATAAACCGGGGCACTTGTTTTGTATTGCGAAAAAAAATTGTAAACCAAGGCATTTTTTTTTACAAATTCTCATTCGTAAACTGAATTTTTCATTTACCGAGGCATTTGTTAACCGAGGTTCCACTGTATATTAAAATAGGATTTAGTCAATAGCAAGCAGTCTGACTATTATTTTTTTGGATGATTGTGAGGTTCAAAATATAAAAAATGGGAATAAAACAAATGTCTGAAACAAGTAGGCAGAAATATTGTTTAGAAAATGTTTCAAAATTGGGTAGGTTGACCTACATTTCTCAATACCCTTTTTAATTCTCAAAAGATTCATGATCTAGAACAGGGGTAGAATTATGGGAGATGTAGTCCCATTGTCAGGACCAGGTGTGAGGAGCCAAGCTTGCTAAGTAGAAACCATATGGCAGGGAATAATTAGCAGTACCCTAATTCCAGAGAAGCCTGGAGATGAGAGCAGGTTCCTAGCAAGTATATAAAGGCATGGGGACTTTATTATTGAATTAAAGAAAATTCAGTGCATCAAATGTGGACAAGGAGTAGCCAAATTCGTAGTCAAGACAATGTCAGAGGTCAAAGGTAAACATACAATTGATGAAGTCCAGAAGAAAAGACAATGGCCAAAAATCCAGAAAAAAGGCATAAACAAGTCAGGGAGGAAAAATAGAATAGGAAACTAATGAACGCTACTTCACATGAACAGGAGCTTTTGAATAACTGACTTTGGTGGCCTCGTGGGGTTTTATAGGCTGGGCCAGGCTGCTTGCACTTGTGTGACACAAGGAATAGTTCCATCACAAAAGACCCTGGTGGTTTCGCCTTGCCATCCAATAGTGACTTAGGATCTGCATAACTTCCAGACAGAGACACTGAGGTCCAGGTAAGAGCAGTTTCCAAAAGCCATAGCAACCATGAAAGCTTTCCCACCCAAAATGAAATAAATAAAGATTATTACTTTTCCTCTCCTGTTTGCCTTCCAGGACAGCAACCTAAAAAAAAAGCTTTCTATGTTTGGTTTTGTTTTTTTATTTTTTATTTTATAACAAATTATTATTTTTAATAAAATGGTAGAACTGAATGCCAGTAACTAGTCCCCATGTAGCTAAAACTGAAACATTAGTATTCCACATTTAAAGGAACACTATAAACACCAATACACATTAGCTTAAAGGGGTGGTTTTAGTTTTTTAGAAGATGCCCTAACAGTCTAACTGCTCTATTCTCTGCCATTTATGAATTAAATCACTTTGTTTATGCAGCCACTGGTAGACATGCCCCTTGTTGCATAGCGAGTAGGGGCAGGAGGGAGATTTTAATCTCCCTTAATTACTAATATTAGGTAATGTTTAGTACATTTTAGTAGATAGCTCCCTTATACTTGTGGGAGGATGCAGAAGCAGCCGCGGGACTGATCGAATCGGAAATTCAATCTCTCAATGAAATTCCAAACTGAATGCAAAGACCAAGTTTCTTCCGAACAAGAATGGACAAATTGTGGACATTCAGTTCAGACACAATTTGGTCAATTCACCAGCGCCCTAGTCTAAATGACAGGATGCTTGGGACTGGCCAATGAAGAATTGCGAGATGACAGAGGAGGGTGAGTATTGTGGGAAAACTTTCTTTGACACCGGAAATGGAGCTGACTTTTAAGCTCCTCCTTTAGTCAAAGAAAATCAAGCGTAGGAAAAATACGTAAGACAACGTATTCTTTACTAGGTCTTATGTTTTAAAGAAAACTAGATCGGAAGGGAAGAAAAGAAGAAGCTACCACATTAATAACACACGCGCTGCCAAGGGTTTCTAGCTATTTGCCCGCTGGCTGCTAGTGTAATCATTCCGGCTTTCTAAAATCCAGATTTGACACATTCAGCCAGGATTTCAGCCATCTGGCGGAGATTGGCCCAGTTGAAAAGTTAAAAAGATTTTTCAGTTTTAATAGGCCAGTATTCAGCTGGAAGCACCATAGTAGCCATCTGAGGAGTGGCCGGTGGAGGTATCACTAGGCTGTAACGTAAACACTGCATTTTCTCTGAAAAGACAGTGTTTACTGCAAAAAGCCTGAAGGAAATGATTCTACTCACCAGAACAAATAAAATAAGCTTCAATTATTCTGCTGACTATACTGTCCCTTTAAGTATACTTTAGTAAACACATGTATTATCCAAAATATTAGACAGTTTCCTATAAATAAAAAATGGCATAATTCGCGCGCATTCCTGAGCATTGAGTCTATTGTTAAAACTAACACAATATCTACAAACATTTATTATATTGTACTAAAATGTGTCTAGGGCAGATTCAACTTAATATATACATAAATAACAGTTAGTTGTTTTTTTTAATAAAATTAACTTCACAGAGAAGAAAATAATCGAATGGCCTGAGATCACATACAAGAATGTAGCATATTCAGATTAGTTTTTTCTTTTATAGTAATTGTAGGGAAATGTTATGTGGTATATGTTTATTGCAAGATTTTACTTTAATTAAAGTGCTAACTTTATAGAATATAAATGCAAAAAGTAAATATAAAACTAATTAAATCAGGTTTCTCTGCACAGTATACAGCAAAACGCAATATACACATTTATGTATCTATAAATATTTACAAGCATACCAAGCCGTTTCGGTAGTATGCGTGAGATAATCTGAGTAATTAAAGTGGTGTAAACAGTATATGGTGTTATATTAAGAAAAAAATAATTTTAAGAGATACACCAGGGTGGAGTTATTGTTTCTTTTTATTGTATTTTATAATTTAAATAGTGCATTTTCCTTTATTTGCAGGTTTTCCAAGGAAAGGACGTTTCTTCATGTTCAACAAATCACTGAGTTTTGAGAATTAAATAGGGGTGAAATAAAACATGTATTCTCTCTAATTGTCAAATACATCATGGTATTGGGCATACTTCAATATCAAGCAAGAGAAATATCAAAGTACCTTCCCTGATATAATATTTTATATTAGTACATTAATAAATGTTACCATTCATGCACATAACTGTAAGGAGCATCTCTTTCATTTCATAAATGCACAATAAAGATAACACTTCGGGATATCACTAGTTGCCAAACTTACTTTTTTACGGTAACATTTGCAGGAGTAGTGGATGCTTTGTGAGAATTTATGTATGTATGTATACGCGGGCTTTGCATGCTGTTGTGGCCTGTATGTATTGTGTTACATGTGTGTTTAGTATATCTGTGGTGTTATGTGAGTGTATATGGTGCATGCATGTGGAATGTTTGTGGACTTGTGTGTGTGTGTAGGTTGTTTGTATTGTGTGTGTGATTATGGGGGGTGTGACTATGAGCTACCCACATGGCTGTTTGTGGTGGTATGCTTTGTGCACGATTTGAATAAAATTTAGATATTATCAAATGCAGCGTTTAAGCAGTATGGTGCATTTAGAGATTGTGTAATTCATTTCTAAAGGCCTGAATTAGAGACATGAGCTCTTTCTTTGGTTTCAGTTTTTTTCTGGGCTTCTAATTTTGAGAAGGATAGAGTTTAATGAGTTAGACATTGCATTCCTAATTTAGACCCAAGGCATATATGGGTTATTTATATTATATAACATTATATTTATATTAAATTATATTATATTATATGGATTGAGGTTGTTCTCAACATTTGTTGAGAATTGCTCAATTTTTTGTAGTGTATTAACCCCTTAAGGACACAGCTTAAAAAGCTTGTCTTACCCTTATGGACACAAGCAATTTTT